CATCCAGAATGTGCATTTGAATGCACATTCTGGATTATTAACCTTAGTATTATTATTAACCTGAGTTAACCTAACCCTAACCTTAACCCTAAACCACAGTGTTTATCACTGTATGCATGAACTGTTTGGAGAAATGCCATGAGAATGTTAAGTTTGCTTCACGACATGTGCCAAAGCAATTGAGAAAAAATGTAAACCATTTTGAAAGCTTGGTTAAATTTTGCATGTGGTGACTAACATGATGATCACATGCATGTACAGTTTTGGGTGTAAAATTATTGCAATGGGAAACTACATAATCTATTTTGGACCAGAAGACTAAAGCAACTGAAAGCTCTGCCAAACTATGAAAATCGTAAAAAACCATTTGCATATAAGTACTAAAACATTTGGAGATTTGTGTGAGATGGTGGTGTGGGGATTACACTTGTTGTTTTGTACATGTTAACTGTCATTTGAGAAATGCTCCAAGGCAATCAAGAAAAACTGTAACTGTAACAATAACTAATTGTAAATGTATATGTAGCAACAACGTGAAATATACTTCCACTGAATATTCTTAAAAATGACACATTTTGAAGGGAAATACTTGTTGGATTTTGTAAGATCAAATTATCTTGATTTTTTTTCCCTTTAAATTGCCTTTTTAATTCTTCTTGCCACAAGCAGAAAGCATTCAGTAAATGAAATATTGCCTAAACACGACTAGTTTGGAAAGGTTTCTAATAGCCTTGGGTTCAGCTGATATTCAGAAATGCATGCTTTTCTAATATGTCTGTATGTAACAGCCAGAAGAGATATTAACCTGATCTCAACCTAAGCAGCTAGAGAGACACACCAAGGAGAGTTATTGTAACAGCAGGAAAAGTGCCCTGGTCTTATTCCCCAGCCAAGCCGTGTGTCGCTGCCTCCCCATTTCCATGTTCCTCAAATTGAGCCCAGGTGACGTAGACAGTTCAGGTGAGGTAAAACAGGCCTGTTAATAGGAAACTGCCCCTCTGTCATCAAACAAGTGACAATTTCTAATTACCACTTTTTGTTCATCCAGGTATTAAAGTCACTCCTGTTTAATTCAAGCGAAATACAGGGAAAACCATAAGATTCAAGATTCAAGATTCAAGATTCAAGATTCTTTATTTGTCACATGTAGTTATAGCTGGTACAACATACAGTGAAATGTGTTTTCCTGGCTGAACTCCGACTGTGCTAGACGTAGGATAAGTGTATAAGTACTAACAGAGGATAAGTATAAAAAGAGGAAAAATGAATTTATGTACATCTATATACAGAAGTAAATATGCATTTACCATATGTAATAAATAAAGTGCCATAGGTGCAGACAAGGTAAGGTGCAGATGTGCCATGAGGTACAGATGTTTTTATAATTTACAGATGGAAGAAATTAAGTTGTGTGTGTAGTTGTCCATTGTGTTGCCCAGTTATGTGCTGTGGTTTAGGAGTCTCACTGCTTGTGGGTAAAAACTCCTCCTAAACCGTTCCGTTCTTGTTTTCAGGCTACAGAGGCGTTTCCCAGACCTCAGTGGCCTGAACAGTTTATGGGCGGGATGGCCGGAGTCACTGGTGATCCTGATGGCCCGGGATCTGCACCTTTCAGTGTAGATGTCCTGCAGTGCTGGTAGAGGGGTTCTCATGGTGCGTTCTGCTGTGCGCACTACCCTCTGCAGGGCCTTCCGTTGCTGAACAGTGCAGTTCCCGTACCACACCGTGATGTTGTTGCACAGGATGCTCTCAATTACTCCAGTGTAGAATCTCCTCTGGATGTTTCCGGAGATCTTAAACCTCTTTAGACGCCTCAGGTGATAGAGGCGCTGTCTGCCTTTGCTGATGAGGAAGTCCGTGTGTGTATTCCAGGTGAGGTCCTCAGTAATGTGGACGCCGAGGTATTTGTAGTGGGAGACTCTCTCCACAGGGGTTCCGTTGATCTGGAGGTGGGTGTGAGTTTGCTCATCTCTCTGTCTCCTGAAGTGATGAGACAGATTATAATTATTATATATTATATTATATATTATATATATTATATATTATATATTATATATATATATATATATATTATATATTATAATTATTATATATTATAATTATAATTAAGTGACTTCATGATAGAATGACATTAAAGTGTCCATCATATGAAATTAACTAGCCATTGAAGGAAAATTAACTACTTCAACATAAATAGCAAACAAGCCCAAAAACTTTGGTCTAAGGTCATGTGACTGAAGGTTGATGAATCAAAACGCAAAGCAGTGAAAAGAGCAAGAAAAAACAATTAGATGGCAAACGCAGTGCGGTCCTACAGTAGCTTTTCATGAAGAACCTGAGACTCAAGAGACTACATGCCGATGAACAGGGAGACGGACCCGAGGAAAGGGCATCCATGGGTGTCACCAGCAGAAGCAGTGCCTGTCCCTGAACGGGGCACAGATCAGCCCTGGTCTCCATGGAACATAGCAGTTTCATATGGAAGCACCCCCGCACTCCAATCCTTTTCTATGGCAAGTGGGGGGGGGGGGGGGGGGGGCTACGTTCCTTTGATAAGCTTACCTGAAGGGTCGCACACTGGCAACACGAATGCATTAGTGAGACACGTCCTCCGAACAAAGAAGAAGAAACAAGGGAGAGGAGTGAGAGAGGAATGAACAGAGGACCCGACGGGGGATTGTTCCGCGGGGGCAATGGATGACCAAGAGGATGCAAATGGAGCCGCGAGAGAAAGGGCCGGTAAAATGGCAGTAATGCGTAGAAGCGACACCATGAGGGCACGGGGAGGCGTCTGAGCAGGGACTGCGAGCACGAGCGGTAGCAAAAGGAGAAGGCAGCCAGCTGAGGAATGTGCTAATGCGACAGGCAGCGGGCGGCGCATTAGCGACACGTAGCTGCGGGGGCGGTGAGGAGGCTGCTGGGACGGCGAGGCTCCACATGTCGGCTGAATAAGCGAGTCCTCACTGGCCATCTCACAGGTGCCGAGGAAGACATAAAGAGCACAATGAAGTCAAACAAACCCGGCAGAGCAGCCCAATCCACCACAGCATCCTCCGTTTCCTCACACTGGAGAATCCTTCCCTGTAAACATACAGAGCAGTCTCTAATGAAGAGCAATGCCATTGTATTATCTGCTGACATTTGGTATCTTGGAAATTATAAAATGAAAATTTCACACATTTTCCCTACAAAGCACATTTAGTTTCTATAGAACTGTCACTCTACTTTTGTGCCTTAATTGTTGTGTAATACATCTTAAGTCCTACGATCAGTGCAACTGGTAAAAGCCGTCTATGTCACAGGCCAGATTTCAATACATCTTTATCAGAGCCAATTCATTTTAGGATCTTAGTTAAAGGGAAATATTAAATCCCAAACATCAAATTGCATTTTCAGAACCCATACATCTTCCGGCCCCTTATCCTGGGCAGGCGTATGGAGTGTTAAGAATCCATTATAAGCATATTTTTGGCACAGTCAAAATCAGAATTATTCACAACACGGCCTATTTTAGTTTAAATCCCTTACATTGAAACTAACAACAATGATGATACAAAGCTTTCCAAACATGAGATCAGCATGTATGGACACATTAGCGCATCAGAAAAATGTGCATTTACCACTGAAGAAACAGGAAAATTAAATGATGAAAAGAAATGAATATTGTGATACACTGTCATCAAAATCAATGTTTGCAAATGAAAGAAAAATAAGTAGAATGGTGTAAGACAGTGGGCATTTGGTTTTATAAAACCAAAAGACTAAAAAGTTCTACAAATTTCACTGAAGGCTCAATCCTAAATTTCCCAAGTGATCTCCCTCTCTTACAGTTTTTCTTTTCTGCTTTCATTGCATTTCATGAAACATACTTAACATTCTCATGACTATAAGTGCATTTTTCAAAACAATTCATGCATGTAGCACAACACTGTGATTAAGCTGCAAAAGACCCTAACTTACTCAAAAACAAAGAATTCCACCAATCAGTCACTGCCACTAAAATCAGCATCGTTTTAACCACGAGAGTTAAAATGTTCAGATATGCCATCAAAATGTCAGTGTAAGTATGTTCCTGAGCTCCACAATTATGAATGAGCCATTACCCATTTTCTCACTATTACTTCAGCAGACTGATTTTTATTCATGTCAAAGATACCAGTTTCAACACTGCATTGCAGTATGTTAAGTTCACTGGCAAGAGAAAGCACTTGCATGCACATGCAACTTCTTCAGATCTCAAGACGCAGTACAACAGCAAACAAAAATGTCACCCGGTTGAATAATACCAAAACAGCAAAATGGCAATATAAGGACAACAAAATGACAATCAAAATTATTTGAATCATTCTGAAAATTTGGTGAGCAATTTCGTATGTGATGCCTTACATGATGATCACTTGCACATATAGATTTAGGTGTAATTTATTACAATGGGAAATTACATAATCCATTTTGGCCAACAAGACTAGAGCAACTGAAAATTATGCCAAATGATGACAATTGTACAAGACCATTTGCATGCAGGTACTAAAACTTATGGAAATTTGTGGAAAGACAATAAGAAATTATTTTTTGTTGTGTACAAGTGACATCATGGTGTGGGGACTACATTAGTTGTTTGGTGAATGTTAATTGTCATTTGGGAAATGTGCCAAAGGCATTGAGAATAACTGTAATAGCCCAGGTCTTCACAGGAAGGAGGCAATAACATTTTTTGATTCACATGAAAAATAATCTAAAGACTACCCCAGCATTCAATATACTTGAGTTTATGCACTGCGGACTAAACAATCGCTCAATAAATGCAAAGTAAATACCAAAATAATTGCCTTTTGGGTATTCTTAAATTAATAGATTTTATGCGCATTCTACTCGGGTACTTTATCCAAATGACGTAACAGCGCCCTCTGTCGTATATGAATGAAAATTGACAGGTGAATAGAATAACTGATGGAGAAAGGACGCCCCATAAATAAAGAATGGTCCAGTGGCACGACGAGACCGCCCGGCAACTATAAATAAGGAGAGGTTGCGTATTGCCACATAGTTTCTAAACGAGTCTGAAGAGGTAAAGCTTAGGTGGTCAACGGGCAGAAAGAACTTCGGGTCTATCAGAAGAATATTATCCCATCCGAAGGAAGAGACCTGAGGAAAAAGTTGGTCATCTTTTAAACATAGCTGAGCCACGGTGAACTGAATGATTTGACATAGGTAGGTTTCGTTAAAAAAGTTATTAATTTCATGACTTTATATGCCATCTATGCCTATACAGGTGGGTTTATAATTGAAACCCTTTATTTCAGTTTAGGGAGAAAGTTTACGTGACAATTTTAAATCACTGGTACTGTAACTTCAACTGCAGTACAAAATTATCGCGTTTAGCATAAATGTCAGCCTATACGGAGAAACGAAACTTGGAGATAGATTTTAATAGTCCATGCAAATTTCTGTATGTTAACAATGGATATATTTTACGAATATTTTCTAGGCTTCTAGCTGCAGTGTACGCGCTCCGCCATGAAGTCCACTTTCCTGATCCTTCTCGCATTTGCGGTCTGCAACCTGAACGTGAATCTCTGCCAGAACATCCCCGATGAGGAAGATGAGGGGGCTCTGCAGAGAGCAGAGACTCTCCTACTTAGATCCATCCTGAAGAAGATAGAGGATGACAGTAGTGACAACGGTATGTCCCGTTATCATATTCGTTGTGCTCCATTTTTAGTTTTAGATTAGTCTGATTTGTGGTATTTCGATAGTCTTGCCTGCTGTTTTTTTCCCCCGAAGATCATTGAAAATCGGGGTTTGGTGCACCACATTTCTTCATATTTCAGACAGTCAAAGTAAATACGAAATAGTTATAGGCCTAAATAACTTGAGAAACTATTTACTCTTGAAAACACCATTCATGTTTGTTGTTGAGCAACTTTTCGTTTTGCACTGTTAAATGTTTGTGTACTGTATGTATGTATGTACACACACACACACACACACACACACACACACACACACCTTTCAAATACCTTAAATACAAGAGTACCAATCTGAATCCAGCAACAGTACCTAGTGTCTCGCAGAGATTTCAAGCATAAAACTCCCCTGACTTTATCGTCACTATTTTTGTTTGGAGGAGAAACTTCTTTAACTGCAAAGTTTTTATTCACTACAGGAAAAGTATAATAGGTTAGGCGAATTTCTTTAAATGAATTAGTGAGAAAATACACACATTTCCACGTTCTACATATGCGGCGTTTTTAAAGGATGCCTGATGCTCGAGTTGTCCGTAAAAGCATGTTACTGAGAACATCATTAGACACTCTGTGAACAGCACCAGCTGTCACATTTAATACGTTTCGGTAATGGCAATGTATTTGGATATTTATTGGAGCATTCCGGCTTAATTAAACGCCGTGATCATACGTATCTTACTACATAAGTACAGTACCTCCAACTTGAACTGAACCCGCAACTTTTCCTTTTCCATGAGGCAACACGCTTCCCATCCTATACATATACGTGTGCATACTGACGTCTTCATCATTCTCTTATACAGAACAAGTCTCCTCTCTGCAAGAGTGGGTCTCCAAGAGGCAACACCCGGGCAAAAGATACGAAGATGATCTTGAAAAGCGGCAACATCCAGGAAAACGAGAAGAGGAGGAGGAAGGAGATTATTCAGATCTCCAAAAAAGACAACATCCTGGAAAGAGAGAGGATGAGATCGAACTGGAGAGGAGGCAGCATCCGGGTAAGCGCTCGATGCTGGAGCGGTTAACAGACACTTACGGCTCTCCAGCGACTTACCTGAACGGGTTTTCTAAACGACAGCATCCAGGTAAACGCTACCTGGTGTACAATAAGCGCCAGCATCCGGGTAGGCGAGAACTTGAGGACGAAGTGAACGCCGACGATCAAGCAGACCTGGAGAAACGTCAGCACCCCGGGAAAAGATTTTGGGATAACACGAGTCCTGATTTCGGGGCCAGCGATCCTTGCGATACCCCGGATCCAGCGAAAGGCTGCAGCAAAGCCGTATTATTACTCGAGCTGCTGGACAACGTGACCAAGAGCCGAGCCGAAGAGAAAAGGCAACATCCCGGCAAAAGGTTCGCCCTGGAAGATATGACAGAACAGGAGTGAAACAAGGAATATGGTTTGCAGCCATGCAAAGAACAAATACTTCAATTAAATTTAATAAATACAATTCCGTTATAGTTAATGTAGGATGTTAATTACCCTTATTTTGGGCCACTTGAGTAAGGCTTGGTTTCTGTGGCAAAATGCCCAACCATTTAGAGTTTTTCCGCCACTAGTACGTACTTAGACCTAGTACGCGTCGCTTGCTGTGCATTTACAGAATAATAATAAGCTTTTAGGTGAGCAGATTTTTGTTACCCTTAAAGTCATTTGATTTGTCGTTTACTTGTTTAATTGCACAAGGATGCACATATATCTATGATATAATAAACAGCAATTATCGTGCCCTCTCGGTACAGTGTAATCATGTGTAATTATGATAATCATCAATAAATTACACATCTGTATCTGGCCCGGAAAATCGCCATATTATGGAGTTAAAATCGTCGATATGGCTCGCAAAAGATTGTGTAGGCTATTATTCTTGAAAATGTAAATGGATGAAATTAAAAAGTGGGTATACTGCAAATAAAGGCAATTAGAAAGGCGGGTTTGATTGAGCACGTAGCCAAGGAGATCGGGAAAATCCTGGTGACATTCAAAGAAGGTGTTATGGCTGGCAGGATCCCCCACGGCAGAAACGTGCGATAACCGTATGGGCAATGTTTTACCCAATTTCTTATTAGGTCTTAAGTCTATAATGGAATCATATTTGTACTGCCTAGATGTAAAGCGCTATAATATATCCGTGCGTGTTCTAGTTTTCTGTAGACAGGCAGTTATGTCTGATGTCCCATAATAATTTGACGATTGTCAAATATTTCCAGTACCCTATATATTTCCTAACTGTCTACGTTGTTACAGACAAATGTGATTTTTCTCTTTAAAAGTCTGGTTGCGGGCTCTTGCCAGAGAAACGAAATTTCACACGTGGCCTTGGTCTTAAATTCAGATGTGCAAGAAATAAACGAATATATCTGTTGTCAAACCGCTTTAACAGCCCACTCCCATGTAAAATACAAATGAACAATATTCTCCAGCAAAATAAAAATGGGTCTCTGAATTATTTTTTTACACCAATGCTATGACATGATATACAGGCATATTTATTGTGTAAAACATTATAGTTTATTAAAGATAAATATTGCTGTGTAAATGAAAAACCTTTGAAATGATGTACAATAAAGTTAAATGCAGACTGGAAAATGTCCATGTCCAGTTAACAGCATGGAAATCCAGTCTTGCCTTGCATTCTCCTGTGGTTTTGGTGCTTTTCCAAAGATGTTCTGGATGGTGCCATAATAATATTGTAACTTCATGCAGAATACACTGTGTATCTCATTTGGGCAAAGTTAATGAATGCAACACTTTTACCACACAAATTTTGGGAACTTCTCACTGTATAATTACTTAGGGATTTCAACTGTCAGTTTTCTAGCAAGAAAATAACATTTTTCTACTCCCTGAAAAACGTCCTGTTCTTATGCATCCATAGCTTTGCATCAATGCAGTTCTGATCAGTACTTTTATTTGGGGAAGAATAAATCAGACAAATTAACAAAGAAAATAAACATTATACAAATAGTATAAGCACTGAAAATAAGAAATGTAACTGTGACACATCACCAAGTCCTGTAAATATATTTCTTAAGTCACATATAACTGCTGTAGGCTGAACATTGTAGTACATGTAAACAAATGCATAAACAAATGCAAGTTCCTCGTTAATGTGAGAAGTCACCTAGCAAAACTTAAAGTCATTGCAAAGACATGAAATGTTTTATGCAATCACCTCCTGATAAACGCCAGTAAGACAAAGGAGATGGTAATTGACTTCCGCCACAAGGTGACTCCATCTGCACCAGTGAACATTCTGGAAGTGTAGGTAGAGGCTGTGTCTGGGTACAAATATCTGGGTGTTCATATAAACAACAAACTGGACTGGTCACATAACATAGACGTCCTGTACAAGAAGGGGCAAAGCCGTCTCCACCTGCTGAGAAGGCTGAGGTCCTTTGGTGTGTGAAGGACACTACTAAGGACCTTTAACCACACTATGGTAGCATCTGCTATGTTCTTGGCGGTGGTCTGCTGGGGGTGCGGGAGCTCAGGAAGGGACAGGAAGAGACTGAACAAACTGGTCAGGAGCGCTGGCTCTGTCCTGGGCTGCTCTTTGGACTCCACTGAGGAGGTGGCTGAGAGGTGGACGCTTGCCAGATTTACATCCATTATGGTCAGTCCCTCTCACCCCCTGCATGACACAGTGAGGACATTAGGAAGCTCCTTCAGCAACAGACTACTGCATCCAACATGCAAGAAGGAACGATTCCGCAGGTCCTTCATTCCATCTGCCATCAGACTTTATTGTGCATATCCACTGCATAGGCATACAACTATATTTACATCACTCGGTGCAATCTGTGTGTATGTGTATCTGTATGTATGTGTATCTGTGTGTATGTGTATCTGTATGTATGTGTATCTGTATGTATGTGTATCTGTGTGTATGTGTATCTGTATGTATGTGTATCTGTATGTATGTGTGTATGTGTATCTGTATG